GTAGATTTAGACATGTATTTGATGGGTTGATGGGCTGATATGGAGGGGAAAGAGCTCAACAGAGTTTGACATTGATTTGCGCTAGAAAAAAAAAACAAACTATTTATGAGAGAAGGAAATATAAATGGCTAAAGGGTTTAACAAGTAGTTTGATGAATACTTTATCATCTTCTAGAAGCAGGGATTTTTAGCCCAAGGATTCTGCACAAACGACCGATGGGAGCTGCTGCATGTGCACTTAATTTTCATACAAAATTCAATAATTCTGCTGTGCATTTAAACATTAAATACGTGATAATACCATGTAATAATCTTGTGCAAACCACGCTCTAAAATATGTACCATATCTCGCACTAAAAACCCCTTTCATCATACAAATTCCACACAAAACAAGAAAAAGAAAAAGAAAAAAAAAGAACAAGTAAAACAAGAGGACCCAGGCATCCACCTTCTGTTGGCTTTCAGTCATTAAGTCATTTACATATTTGCCAACAAAATGTCAGCCATAAAATATAAACTAAAGCAACTGTGAGGAGTGGCAGGCACCAGCAACAGCAACAACACCCAGAGCTGAGCTGAGATGAGATGAGAGAAGGAAAAAGAACAGAGAAACAGAGAGTCAAGAAGATAAATGGAGACGCAGCTGCTGCGGCTACATCAACGCTAATTGCTCTGTGCATCTTACAGATACATGAGCAGAGAGGGCAAAGCGAGAGGGACACAAAAACACAGAGTGAGTGAGAGGAAGAGAGTGAGAGAGTGGTCGCTCCAAAGATATATATATATATATATACAGAATCATAATTCATATTTGCCGCGCGTGTGTTGATCCGTGCGATGCGTTGGTTGCGGTGGAGAGGGGAAGAAACCGCTGCGACAGCAGAAATGTCAAAATGCATTAACATTTAATTGAGGCTAATTTAAGGCGAAATATTTCGCCAGCCACTCATACATACATACAAACGTACATACAAACGTACATACATATATGCAAATTTATGCGTCTCATTTCGGTCAACAAAAAAAATATTCTTCACGGTACTTCTGTTCCTCTTTACTGCCGACGACTGCGTATCTCTGTCCTGTGTGCCTGTCAGTCTGTCCGTCCGTCTGTCAGAGAGCTCTCCGCTCCGGATATGTTTGAGAAATGAGTGCATTTTGTAAAAATGTCACATTACATTTAATTTATGCAACGCCAACGCTGAAAGCCATTCGGTATTTGTAGATTTGTATCTGCTGCGTGGTATATCGCTCTGTAGATTTGTATCTGCTGCATGTTGTATCTGTAGATGTATCTGCTGTATGGTGTTTCGCTCTGTAGATGTATCTCTGGCTCTGAAGTGTTGCATGAAATTGTTTTGCTGATGTTAATAATTTTTTTTTTATTTATTTATTTAATTTTTTTTTTTTGTGACATTATTTTTTTTTTTAATGTTTTGTCACGGCTTTTCCCAATGAAAAAATTTGTATTTTAATTAAATCTTAGAGTGAAAGTATCGCAGTATTTATTCTGACTAAATGAAACCATCAATCATTGAATGCAGGGTATTCGCAAACCGACAACAATTGCCGCCAAAAGGTCCTACTGGCCAGTGACAATTTTGACAAGCAGCTTGGCAGGCGGTCTCCAGCACTCCACTTACTCCACTTACTCCACTTACTCCTCACTTACACAGTCATTCAACTGTGAGGAGCAGGACCCCGACCCCGACCCGGACAACGGACCACCAGCTGTTGCCAGGATCGAGCGGCTGGCTGGCTGGCTGGCTGCTGTCAAGCTTTTTAACCCAAAAACGTTGTGGACGAATTGATTTGGCTGCTGCTTCCCAAGACACACAGCAGGATAGAGAGAGAGAGAGAGAGAGAGGGGGGAGGGAGAGAACTGACACTGGCAGGCGGTCCAACCATCCTCCAGCCTCCATCCTTCGACTTGTCACTGATACGAGGCAGCAGGCAGCTCTGGAAGTATCCTACGAATTGCTCTACGCCCAACAGCTAAACAACACAGGGTGTGGTGTGGTGTGGTGTGGTGGGGTGGGGATTGACTTTGTGTGCGGCTCAAGTGGCACAACCGAGTACTCTTCTATGTGTGGCATGGGGCATGCGGCATGAGGCATGCTGTGAAATCTGCAAATTGCCATGTCATTATTTGTTAGCATCAAACCAAAAACCGAAAACCCAACGAACCAACGAGTATGTTGACGCCCCCTTTTTTTTTTTTTTTTGTGCCCAATCTTAACCCCAAATAACGAACCCCCGGAACGCCTTCCCACTGCCAGTGGCCCTGCCACACGGCGTCAAAAAGTGTAATTGGCAAAACCCGCCCGTCCGGGGTCCTTTATCGAATACGAGTATACGAATACGAATATAACCCACTGTCGGCTTACACACTCAAGTCAAGCGTCCAACCGAACTGAAACTTCCACTCCATGGCACTCCACTCCACCACTCTCCTCTCCACTCTCCAGTCATCTCTGCTGAAGCGAACCTGAACCCAAAATCCCAAAGCAAAAGAGAGCACGAACCGAACCGTCAGGCAGAGAGGCAGACAGACAGACAGACACACAGAGAGACAGACAGAGACAGTTGGTAACTGTCAGTGGGCATGTTCGACTTGACAGCATAATATTACAAATCCCTGCCGAAAGCAGACAGTAACGATGACAAGCAGGCGGCTCGGCTCGGCCCAGCCTGGCCCGGCCAGTTCTGTCCCGGGCAAAAGGCAAAAAGGACAACCGCAAAACACAGACACAGAAGGAGAACAGGGAAAAAGAATACACACACACACACACAGGGGAAGCGGGGGAAAAGGGCTACTAAAAAGGCATATTTTATTCTTCAGGTAAAATGTCCAGCAAACAACAAACAAAATTATTTGAGGTTAGCCCAAAAGCATTCAACGCTATGGGTGGGAGTTGGTTTCAATGGGGGTGGGGAGGGGAGGGGACTATGATTGAAATGGAATCCCTACCAAATAAGTAACCTCACTTATTTAGATCCCTTGTGACATTTCAATCAATCAAAAATCAAAGCAAATGGTACGAGATTTTTGTCTAACAAGTTCGCTTAAAGGGGGACAAGTTGGGTCAAATCAGGGTTGGGTATGTCAGAGTTTTGATGTTGTTTAACGGGCGAAACGGACGCCCTTCAGCTTAAACAGAAGGAATTATATAGAGATTGAAGCAATAATAAAAAGAAGGAAGGAATAAAATATAGAATATTATAAAGATAGAAGGAATAATGTAAAGAATAAAGGAATAAAATAAAGATTGAAGGAATAAAATAAAGATTGAAGGAATAAAATAAAGATTGAAGGAATAAAATAAATAATGAAGGAATATTATAGATTTAGAAGGAATAATATAAAGATTGAAGGAATATTATAGATTTAGAAGGAAAATTAAAAAAAAAAAAATAATAATAATAAAAAATAATTTAGATTAAAATAATAAAATAAAGATAGAAGGAATAAAATTAAGATTAAAGGAATAATACAAATTTAAAAAGAATTTTATAAAGATTAAAAAATAATAAATTAAAGAAGGAAGGAATAATATAAAGAAAGAAGGAATAATTTAAACATTAAAAGAATCAAATAAGAATTGAAGGAATCATATAAATATACAAGAAATAATCAAAAGATCAAAGGATTAATATAAAGAATGAAGGACAAATTAAAAAATGTAATTTAAAAAGTGATTTAACAAATCTTCTGGCACCAAGCGGCAGTGCAGTAGTCTTAGACATTAATATTGATCGGCACGATCGGCACTGACTATACCTGATTTTCTCTGGACGGTTGATATGCAGTGACTGCAGCATCAAGTAGCCCATGCGACACCAAGTCGAAGCCTGTTATGCGCGGAGCCCAGGCAGAAACGTCAGCCCTCCTTCCAGCCAACCGACCGTGGGGCGCTGCCGCATGTCGCGTGTAACCGAACTGATCGCGAGCAGGCAGGAAATAAACACAACTAAAAGAGCTAAACATCAAAGATAGCTAAGAAATAATACTAATTAAGGGAAAGGTATGTTAGTAATAAGAAGAAGGGAAGAAGAAGGGAATAAAGGGAATTATAATCCGAACATAAGACCCTAAATGGTTCATGCTAAAAATAATTCGATCTGCAAAGTGTAAGGATACATAGAAAATACTCTACAGCAAAAATAACTGACTGCTTACTTCATAGATAGCCCCACTTGTTGTTGGCTTTAAAGCTAATCAACTTTGAGTTACACTCGAAACTACCAAGACAATCTCGTTGTTCAATTGCAAACACACTTAAGTCGTATATTTTTGGGGCTACCAACCAGTCAACGACTCAATAAACACAAACACAGATAGCCCAAAGACTTGCCGTTTCCTCAATAGCATCCGTGTGGATGGATGCTTATAATCAATTAAAGTTGTTGCAGAGGAAATCACATAAATTTGCGTAACATTAAACGGATCGTCGTAGTCGTCGTCGCGGTCCTATTTCGATATGGTCAACATTTCACAAATTTTACGAGACGCACTTCAAATTGATAGAAACATTTACGAGGCACTCTGCAGGCCGGCTCTGATCTGCGGTCTTTGGTTGGGGTTTTTTCTGTGCCTGGTAGCAAATTGGTAAACAAGTTTATGGCGAGTCTCCCATCGCAACGCCAATTTCCAGCACCGATCTCCGGCAGCGCACATTTTCGCTGTCTCTTGATTCGCCGACATTGCCCGTAAATTTATTGCACTTCCTTTTGCATATAATTTTCAAATTAAGTGTTGCTTCATGTAAATTGATACATTTACTGAATGTGCAACCAGGCCGGCAGGAACAAACGGGTTCATCTCTGTTCATAGCAGAAAAGTTGTGCCATAAAATGTTTTGAATTAATCTGGAATTTGGCATCTATTTTTTTTTTTTTTGTGGGAAGTGTGGAAAATAGATTGAAATGTTGGCGGTGTTTAATGGAAGTTTTATTTGAGAACAGCAAACAGCAACAAGTGTACAATATATATCGTATAATGTGTGTTTTTTTTTTTTTACCTTTTTCTTTTATTTTGATAATGCGCCTTGATAGAGTATTTATTCTCCGCCTTTAGATGCTGAAAAAAAAAAGAATTAATCTATAAATAAGAGTCACTTCTGTGCCTGTGCCTGCTCACCATCGTTTATAGTTGTCCGTCTTAAGCCACTCCACCTGATAGTATCCCGTATTCCAGCCAATTGTCAGGGTGCGTCGTCGACCATTCTCCTTGGCATGGCCAAAGCACATGCATGTGGCATAGGCACATTGGCCACGCGCCTGTTCATCATCGCAGTGTATGTATTCCCATGGTATAATACGCAGTTTTGCATGCTTCTTCATCGACAGTTTGCAGAGCAGCACAAAGGGCTGCCGCTTATAGATGACCGCCAGATAGATGTTCAGCGGATCCACGGCAATGGCCTGGGCCTGGCCGTGATGCTTTTGCTTGCCCAAAACGAATATTTCATGGAGATCTGCCACCAGCTCAAATGTCCAGAAGAGCTGAGGCTTTAGAAAAACGCCCAAGTCTGCATAGCGGGTAATCGAGTACAGATGTGTGTCGTCCTTCTGGACAAACAGCAAATATGTGCTGCCGGCTGTCCAGGCAGCCGTCTGTATGGGTCGCTCCGCCAGGATATGCTCCAGCTGCCAGCACCTGCGCTCCACATAACAGACGTCGGCACCCGCATCGCTGCTGGCGCCGAACAGCAACTGAAAGTCGGGACTGTACAGCAGGAAGCTAATCGAAGCGGAGAGCATACGAATCGTTTGGGCACTGTCCGTATTCCAGACGATGATCTGACGACTACCCATGGCCACACTGACCAAGGTAGTGCCGGGCTGGTTCCACTGCACGGACGTCACATGGATGTGCGCCTTGTGGCTCAGCAGTCGCTTGCCCCACAGCTGACTCGAGACATTCCGCCAGATGTAGATGCCGGCGGCACAGCCCACCGCCAGCTCGCGGTTCGTGCACGGTCGGTAGGCCACACAGTAGAGATCCACTTGTTCCGGCGCCTGCAGCTGTGCCGCAGGATCAACCCAATTGACAAACAGATGGACAATGTCCTCGCTGGTGATCAGTGCCTGGTGTCTGCTGGTCGGATGAATGGCAATGCAACGAATACACGCCTCATCCCAGTTAACCATCTGGCGATAAGTCGCCAGGCTATGGGCCAATGGAGTCGTACGTACATTCTGTAGACTCTGGAGGAGCAGCAGCAGCCAGTGCTTGCCGGCACTAAAACCATTGCAGAGAGTGCTCCAAATGCTGGCAACTGCATCCTCATTCGGACATGGATCACACACGGCTCGTTGAGGCGGCACTTCAGCTTGTTCCATCTTTGAATCTGTTGTAGAACCTTTTTCCTCACTGAAAATGAATGTGACAGGGTGATCTCAGGGCTATATTGATTATATTTTTGTTTTATCTACGATAAATACGACTCGCTTTATACTGCGGCTGTGTCATCTAAAATTCTTGATTGTTTCCATCCATTAGTTTGGACACTTCATCGCTCTACATGCCACATGGGAGGTGGTTGATGCCACAAAAGCGCGACTTGGCGTTCCTTTCATTCGGCTGACAGTCACTTCCTGTCAGTGCATGGGGCCTCACTGCCCACCTTCCCCCCACCCTATCACTCTGGGCACCACTGACGGCTCATTAGCATGTGTGCGTGGCCTCCTCTCTCTCTCTCTCTCTCTCTGTCTCTGTGTCCCTTTCCACTGCTTCCTTCTTCGCCTGTCAGCTGCTTTGGCCTGCCATTAATTTCGCCAACTCCTCTCTGTCTCTCTCCCGTGTTCTCTCCTGCTCCGTCATGGGGTGTACGTATAAAACTAACCTAACCTGCAGTGTAATGCCTTTGTATTGTTCACGCAAAATTTATTTCCGCTGCGTCATGAACATCCTGCTGTCGTCGTCGTCGTCGTCGTCGTCGTCTCTCGCTGTAGTCGTCCTCCCAACCATTCTACTTGGGCCTTTAGTACTCTCCTCCTCATCCTGGTTATACGCTCTCTGAAGGTATTTTGTTTTTCTTTTTGAGTGGTGTAAAGGCTGAAAAAGGGGAAAATTAAGCTTGAATCATTATTACTCATCTAATTTATTTATTATTTATTTATTTAATTTATCATTTAAATAATAATTATATTTACGCTCAAAGATCACACATTTAAATATCTACTTGTTGGCATTTTTTTCTCATAATCAGAATTAATTTAAATTTAATTTAATTTTGGCTCCTTGAACACCTGGTCTTAGTGCCAGAGCAGCGAGCTTTTGCCTGCATGCGCAGATCAAGTATCTTGTGCCTGCTTTTTCTTTTACATTTTGTATAATATTTTGCTAGTGTATCTTTCTTTTCGGTTCTCTGGGCACTTTGCTGCCTTTGCTTGCTGTTAATTTACGTAATAAATACGCTTGAAAATGTTGCACGCACATGCAAAATGAATTACGTTGCCGGGGAAGCAACAGCAGAGGCATCAGCAGCAGCAGTGGCAGTGGCAGCAGCAGCAGCAGCAGCAGAGGCAACATCAACTTAACTGTCACTTGTCACTGGGACGTTTCATGGGCCTTTCTGTCTCTCTCTTTCTGGTTCTCCCCATCTACCCGTCTACCTTTTGGCCCCCTCTCTGTCTCCTTCTCACTCTTTCTTTTGCTGTGCTGGCAGCATGTCCTGGCAGTGCGCTGCCGCCCCGCCTGCCTCATCGTCCGTTGTCGTCGTCTCTCACATGTCAACGGGCGTCGCTTTGCTTGGCATTTTTGTGATGTGAAATGAAGCAACGAGGTGACAGCAGCAACAGCAGTGGCAGTGGCAGCAGGAGCAGGAGGCAGCAGGAGCAGGAGGCAGGAGCAGGCAGGAGCCACCAAGCTCTGTGTGGAGATGTGCCGCCACACCAGCGGCAGCATAAAATGAATTACTCGCGTGAACAACAAAAACTGTCAGAAGGCTGTCAGCTGTGTGTGGGGGCGTGGTGGTGGTACCAGTGGGCGGGACGAAACGGTACCGGTAGGAGGACACCCATGTGTATATGTATGTATGTATGTCTGCTGTTGCCGTTCCTGTGGCTGTTTGCGCTGCGAGGTGTCAGCGCATCGCATTTGAAATGCTTTAAAAAAAAAAAAAAAACACAGTTGACAGTCAACAGTCAGTCCAGCGACAAAGTATTGCTCCTGACACTCAACGACCAGCAGCAACAGTGCCACATGAAGCGTGCAGCAAGAGCAGTGGCAGCAGCAGCGGCAACAGCAGCAGCAGCGGCAGTAACAACAACAGCAACATGTTGCCATTGCTCGTGTCACTGCACCATGTCCCCATGTTTTTTGCACTTGGAAAAACAAATTAAAGTTCCATAAGTACAACCAACATGTTTTAAAAATAAGATTTAATCCTTTGTTTGTTTGTTTGTTTAGGTTTAATCCTTTGTTCGATAGGGACAACTTCGATCATAACATCAGGCCTGAATAATTTATCGGTGCTAGCAACGATTTTTCGATACTCGCTGCTACACTTCTGTGAATTTTATTATTTTCATTTTATTTTTTTGTCTAAACTGAAATATTTTATTATATCTTGTTTTTCATAATTTTTTGAATAGTTTTATGTTTTATCATATAAGGATTATATAAGTTAACAACAATTAAGCTGACCAAGCAGACGGCTGACATACGCCACGCTTGGCTCGAGTCGCAGCCCACAGCTAGCCTACCTTAAGTAAGAACATAATTCTGTATTGTACTTCAGTCTAAAAAGCTTACTAAAAGAAAAAGACCGATAAAAAAATTAAATTTCTCAAAATAACATCTCGAAACTTAATTTATATATATCTGATCTCAATAGCTATATAATTTTTTATATAGTTTCAGCCATATTTTGTTCCTTTTTTTGTTGAGTAAATAAGGAACTGTTTTCATAAGCAAAAAGTTTAGGTATAGCAAAATAATAGAATATGAAAATAATATTCTAAAAATTAAATCATTTTGGATAGGCTAATATAATATAATATAATATAATATAATATAATATAATATAATATAATATAATATAATATAATATAATATAATATAATATAATATAATATAATATAATATAATATAATATAATATAATATAATATAATATAATATAATATAATATAATATAATATGATATATAATTAACTTATATTATAATTATAATATAATTATATTAATTCTTTTTTTGGCGAGTGTGCATTGGAAATGTGAGAGCGCACATTCTTTTGTGGGGTAGCCCCATGATTATCTTACCTCAAATTGCTTGCAGCAATCATGAAAAGAGCTTCCCCACTCTCTTTCTCTCGCTCTCTCTCTCCCACTCTCTCTCGTTTCTTTGGTTTTTGGTTGCAGCAATTTTCATTTTCGCACTCCATTATAAAGTAATTTTTTTGCATTACTTATGCCTGTCAACCCAACGTCTGTGCGCGCTTTCTTCTTCCTGTTTCCGCGGCAACGCCTCTCACTCTCTCTCTCTCGCAAGGTTTTTTTCAGGGTGCACAAGTAGTGGGTGGATTTGGGGAGGGGTCTCCTTCTTCTTGTTGGCAAAGATTAATATGTTGCCGCTGTGCTGTTTCCGGTGTGAGCGCGGAACGGGACTCGGAACGGCATGTGTGACAGTTTGCAAATGTGATTGACAACTGACACTGGCATATAAATTCAAAGCTTTCGCAAACACACACAGACACACACACAGCGAGCCGTTGACAGTCTGCCAGGACAGCAGCCAGCCCTGAAGGCATGACAGACTGAATGAATGAATGAGGGACATGCAGCAGATCTGACTGACTCACTGACTGACTGACTGACTGATGGCCCAGCCCTGACAGCTGGGATGTTGGTCCCAACTTGTGCGTGGGGAATGAATCTTTCTTGGGATTTGCCATTTATTTTGTTTCTTGTGCCAGATCCGCAAGAAGAAATATTTACGGCAGATAAGGAATCGATAGGCAAATATTTTTTTTTTTTTACATTTTTTCGGTTTTTTTAAATTTTATTTTTCTATATTCGATATTTTCCCCACTATAGAATGCAGTTTGTACATCTTGTAGCCTAACTCAACTTTGAGTTGGTTCACAGCTTCGATGGCCTGTCTCAGCGTGTTGTTTTGGCCACAAGAGCCCTTCCCTGCTGTCGACCGTTGGTTGAATTCGTTGAGTGCATCCAGCGCACTCTTCCATTTGATCAGCTCCACATCCTGGTCGCGGACTCTGTCCTTCAGTTTGGCCAGCTGCTTGTCCTTGTTGTGGCATGATCCAACATATCGAAGCAGCGGCTTGACAGTGGGATAGCAAACGGCACCGCATCGTTCTTCCAGCTCGTTTGATATCAGGCAGTGCTACGAAAGAAAAACGAGACTTAAATCCATTCTAAGCCAAGGAAATTAACGTTGACATTCTCACATCTTGCTCAAAGTCTGAAGCGCCCACAATAATTAACGAGAAGTGTAGACAAATCAAGATAAGAATCGGGGTGTTCAACATTTTCTGTGATTTCTGTGCTGAATATTTGTGTAGATTTCGACTGAGACTGAATTGCAACTGAATTATTGGAAAGGTTTTTCGTTTCTGTTGTACATGGCCAATCGCTTTCGGAGTTCAAAGGCGAATCCCACGCTTATCAAATGTAATGGAACGCTCACAGCTGGCAGGCAGATGATAAGAAAATATGCAAATGTACAACCAAAAATTATTATTTTTGTATTATATAAAAAAAAAACGTTTAATTTAATCTAACTGAAAATAATAAACAAATAAATAATTTAAATAATAATTATAAATACTAAAATTAGAATATAATAATATAAATATTAAATTAATAATAAATATATAAAAAATGTATAAATAAAATTTTGAATATTTATTTTATTTATTAAAAGCCAAAAACAGTTTACAACAGTTAAAAAAAAATTAAATCTAATATAAAAAAAAATACAAAAATTAATAAAATCATACAAAATAATTATAATTATATTATATAATTATAATTAAACTATAATATAATAATTATAAAATAAAATTATTATTTACAAGCATTAAAAAAAATTAAAGCCATAAAAATATTATATATATATTATATTTAATATATATTATTATTATTATACTATATATTATTATATATAACTATTGTATTTCACATACAAATCTATGAAAAATATTTTTATATTCTAAAGTTGTGTATGTGAAAAAAAAACCAATGGCGGCAAATGATCTCTAATAAAGTGATTAAAAATGCATTACGAATACCTTTTCAATCCATTTTAGAGAGCGAATAGAAACAACGATTAAACGAACACTCTGACAAGTCATTTCCCCAATGTCCGTAGTCTGCAGCGGCGTTTCCTGTTTCTTTCAATTATTCGGCCAAGAAAGTAATTCCAATTATCATGACAACTTCCGTTCCGCGAGAGCCTAGACTCAAATTACGGTCTAATTGCTATTTAGGGGTTCCTTTAGCCCGGCAGCAGCAACAGCAGCAGCAGCAGCAGGCAACGTTCGGGCCGCGTAATATCCAATTATTCAAACAAGAGAGGCCCATAAATGCTGACACAACGGGGACTGGGGACCGGGGACTGGGCACTGGGAACTGGCTTGATAATAGACTCATCAGACATCGGTGCTCGTCATCATCAGGCAATAGCCAGACCACAGCAGGTAGCCCAGTACAGTACAGTCCAGAGAGCAAAGGAAGCCCGAACCCCTAACCCCGAACCTGTCGCCGCGTGCTCGTGACGACAAAAGTGTCTTCAACGGAAGTGACACAACAAAAATCCAACAAAAAAACAGAAAAACATACTTGATTATAAATGCTGCCTGATGCCGCGAAGAAAATAAAACTAATAAATTGATGTTGATCTGTTGGCGATGCTGCTGGCTGGCTGGGCAAACAAAACCGATGGAGCCCAGGAGACGGCAACAAGCAATGACAATGACAAAATCAACGAAGAGACAGAGCGAGAGAGAGCGACAGAGAGAGCTGACAATGATGACAAAGTGACAGCAACAATGGCGCTGCTGACTGACTGACAGGAGGATGTGCGGCAGTATGGGTTGGTGGTGAGGGGTTATGGGGCACCCAGGACCAGCTGTTCGCTAACTCGACACTCTTGGCGTGACTTGTCAACGGTGGCATCATTCAACAGAAGGTCTCTGAGGTTTAATGGAGCTCCCAGACGCAGGCGATCATTCATGACGATAATGTGGTCCGTCTGTCTGCCTGTCTTTTGTTTATCCAAATTTCAAGGCTACGGAAATATATGCAAACAATAATGAAAGATTTCTAAAATGTGCCTGGATTTTATTCTAATTTATTTAGGTAATATTTGTAAAGATATTTCCCACTGTTACTTGTACCAGAGAGAGTGAGGGAGGGCGAGAGCGCCTTAGGAGAGTCAAATCCATTTAGTGTACAGGAGGCGCAAGACAAGCCATTGACAGACACAGTACCAATGACAGTAGCAGTACCGAGTCCCCCAGTGCCGGAGTCATCGATCCATCAGCCATTCAATCATTCAGTCATTTCGACTGTTGTCACTCACTCACACTCAAGTTGCATGCGGCAGGCAGACAAGGCAGACGAGACGAGGCACCTCCAACCATCCATCCATCCATCCATCCACATGCTGCACGATTCCGTGGTACGCTTCAATGAAAACAAACTGATATTTGCCTGACACTTGAGATTGATTGTCATCCATCAAGTGAGCTGCTGCTGTCGTTGCTGCTGCTGCTGCTGCTGCTGTGTGTTTGTGTGTGTGAGTGAGTGATTGAATGGCACAAGGATGCGCTGTTTGCATTTCGAATTTACATGCCATGCCATGCCATGCCACATCCCTGCCTGCCTTCATTCCTGTTGTCTCAAAACATTTTTTTTTTCGTTTTGGGCGTTGGCCTGAATTTATATTCAATTACGACTCTGAAGCTTTATTTCTTCAAGCTGTCACTCGTCTCGTCTCGTCTCTTCTCGTCCCCTCCTGAAGAGCTTGACCACAGAAGTGCTTGGCTATCCCTTTTGGCTGGCTTTCACACTCCCCACTCCCCAAGTGATGCCTGAATGAGGCAGGCAACACGTCTCCATTACCTTGGCAACACAGACAGCTGTATGACGCTGTAATATGTAGTGGATACTCGCAGTCAGTCCAGAGATCATGTTTGCTTTTGGCATGTGTGTGGTGTTTGCTGCAGAACCGCAGAAGAGCCGAGCCGTCAATTTCGATTTCGATGCTCAAGAGCTGCCCCCCAGAGCCGCAGCAGCAGCAGCAGCAGCTGTTGCGTTGCCATATGCCAAAGAAAAATTACTCGCAATCGAGGCTTAAATCTGTAATATTATATTCTTCTGTTGCCCAGTTGCAGATTGATTTTGTAGGTGAACAAAGTAGACCGCGCAGCTCTCACAATTTTTCTTCCTTTACTTTTCGGAGCGAGCGAGCGTAAGCGCTTCTTGCAGTGCCTTTTTTTGCTCTTTTATTATTTATTAATTATGCAAAATATATTTTATTATTTTTTTTATTTTATTTATTTTATTTTATCTTCCGTTCCTCCCCCTATTTATTAAGATGAGTATTTATATTTTATTTATTTATTTATTTTTATTTATATTTTATTTATATTTATTTTTTATTTAAATAATATATTTTTTTTATTTTATTTTATATTCTTAACTTTATATCGTTCTCCCTTTCTCCCTGCCTGCTGCAACCTTCATTATGTTTTCCATTTCAATCTTGTTGCCATTTATTATGCATATCCTTCTTGGCCCCTACCCTGAAACGGAGAACACCCAACATTCGAGACCCCCAGACACAGAGAAGCGCACAAATACACATTTTTCATTTCGGTCTCTCTCTCTCTGTCTCTCTCTTTGTCTGTCTCTGTGGCAAATCGTCCAAGTAGCGCATAAAGAAATTGAATTCATTAAACATTAGCTTCCTGACACGATCGTCGGTTGTCGGTTGCCGGTTGCCGCAGCAGCCGCCGCCGCCGCCAAGAGCTCTCCGACAGAGAAGAGACCTTAAAACATTTAGTGTCGCAATATGCAAATCCATAAATTTTGTGCCCCAGACAGACACAGGGAGACAGCAATGTGGCTGCCACAGCGATGGAGATGGAGAGGGAGACGGAGACGGGGTGGGGCAGTTGCTCCTCAGCTGCAGGAGAGACAAGACATACACACGCGATAAAGAAATTCGATTAGGCATCAATTTTAAATGAGACGCATTTTCCCCCCAGCCTCCTCCTGCCTCCTCCTGCCTACCACTCACTCTGCTCCTGCTGCTTGGGGCAGTTGATCGGCTTGGCTGCCTGCTGTGTGTGGATGCCACGTAACCTGATATGGTGACACTCGTCCATGTCGTTTACGTCGTCGTCGCGGTTGCAATCTAATTTATGACTTAATTATCGGGCCATATTTAATGTGTCCAATAAACTAGTCTACAAAATTATACCAACACATCGTTGTTTAGGCTTTGCCCACGATCCGCCCAAAGCCACACTGGGGAATATATTTTGTTGCTTTGTTGCGGCTTAAGTTGATATTTTTGTATACTCTGCTTATAATTATGGGCAGGATTTAGGCTGTATTTAGTATTTAATTTATATTTATTCAATTATATTTATTTGTTTTTATTTATTTATTTTCATTTAATTTGTTTACATTTATTTATTAATATTTTATTGTGCCATCTTTTATTTGTATTATTTTATTTATTTAAATTGAAATTTTATTTATTTAATTTAATTTAATTTAATTTTATACCGCATTGGCAAAGAATCTTTTATTTGTATTATTTATTTAATTAAAATTTTATTTATTTATTTTTAACAACTCTTAATTTAATCTTATACCATAGGCAAAGAATTTTTTATTTGTATTATTTAGTTAATTAAATTTGTATTTATTTATTTTTAATAAGTTTTAATTTTATTTCATTTTTCAGATACATTTTTTCTGTTAAGAGCCCAACGTGGGTAGCAAACAATTTTTTTAAGCATACATTTCTCTCAGTGTACTCTCCATTGGGGTAAGCTTTTGGTTTATGCGTGGACCGGGTGGGGGGCAAACTTGAATTTCAGCCACTCGCCAACTGTCCCATGGTGGCCTCCTTTAGTTCTGCGGCCATCAATTTGCTTTTAAATGCAACAATTTGGTTGCCATTGCGGCGCGGCAGCCACCACACCGCACCGCACTGCCAGAGTCGAGTCCACCGCGTCATCGTCACCACAGCATGCAGCATTTTGTTGTTGTTGTTGTTGTTGCTGGTTTTTTGTTTTTTTTTTTGTTTTTGGCGGGCATGGTCGGTCGTCTCTGGCCTGGCTGACTCGCTCAGCAATAAAAATTTCGTGAAGTGGCAATAAAATTCCATTTAAAATGGCAGCGATTATGTCTCAACAGACCATTAAAGTCACTCAAATGACAACTACTACTTAGGCCACAACTCCACACAGCCCCAGCCCCAGCCAGTCAGCCAGCCAGCCAGCCACTCGGCACTATGCCACACCACGCCACACGGACAGTGCAACACTCGGAACCACTTTCAGCAACGCATATATATATAT